CAGCGGCAGAATACCGGCGAAACACGTGTCCGGGCCTTTTAGCAAGTACCTAAGCTGTTAGTATACGAAGTTACAATGTTAATTTGTGGGATTGTCGTCGGCTCATGAGCTAGCTGCCCCTCTCCGTCTCCACCCGTTGTCAGCTGCGTCTAGGACACGCTGGCCCACCTCGTTAGCCAGGCGGTGGACGGACGATCAGACAGAGGAAACCGCGCAGAAGGAGGTGATTAGATCTCTGAAGCGAGCATTTTATACGCCTGCCAGTTCAGATCAAGATGAGGACGACTTATTTGGCCTCCTAAAGAGAACACGAGAGCAGGAACTGCCCACGCTGTTTTTCAATGCAATAACAGTTATCCGGTGTATTACATCCTGGAATTTGTGTGATTGTCGGCGGTTCGTGAGCGACCTGTATCAACACTCCTAATAATCCAAACTCTTCGAATCATAGGGTGTATTGGATAACTCTTTGGCAGTCAGTTTACTGCCTCAGAATTGCATAGGATACAGTTGGCCCGGTGGGTAAATCAACCCATGTTTCGATGACCGCTCCCGGCGAGGGCCTCCTTTCTCAATTGACTAAAGCCTTGGTTGAACTAAAACCTTACATTGCTAGAATGGTTTCTAACGCAGCCGAATTGTTCATTGGTGAGTCAACTTAATTATTGAACTCACCGAATTCAAAGGGCAAGATGCTGTTACGGGAGAGCAGTCATTCTCTACTGGAGCGTACAACTGTCGACCTTACTAATGGGACATAATTCCATATCCAACTATAGGTGACTGGAATCTGTAATGAGACCTATACCGCACGAGGAGACGGAACCGCATGTGAAACTGTGCCTATGACTTTGCCGAGGACTGTCCTATACCCCAAACTCCTCGGAAGCTGTAATCAGATTTATGGTTAGTGTTAAAGTTAGCGCTGAGATAAATTAGGCTTAAGTTGACGGTTAACACTAGGATTAGAAACACATTTAGGGCTAGGGTAAGGCTACGGTTAAGATAAAGGCTGCAATTTGGGTTTATGTTAGGTATGGTATTTAATTCCAGATTAATTCTTGGATGTATATAGCTGTGGGCTAAGTTTATAGGTAAAGCCCTTGTCGCTGCGATCTTCAGGCACGGTTCCATGTGGAAACTGAGACGCCAGATGGCATGAATAATGCGCTCTAGTATCAGTATCAATATATTTAAGGGATATATGGGTAGATTGCCTTTGAGTTCCCTATTTGTACATATGTATCGTGGTACCAAAAATGGTATCTCAGTTTGTTGGCGAGGTCAATTCTCATGAGCCATGAGGTGTTACATAGTTTTTTTGAGCAGACAGTGAAAAAA